TTTACTACTACAACATCCGTGCCCTACTAGTAATTATGGCGCATGTTAGATATAAAATATACAAATATAACAATGTATTGTTATTTGAAATACGGATTAAATATTAAAAATTATGAAATAAATAATATTTATAAATACTTCTCAAACGCGATAAAATAAGTACGTTAAAAAAGGCTTAGTTTTTTTTATTAATATTAATACCTATATACTCTTGGTTGAAATGATAAAAAATGTAATTTGTATGAATGAAACAGATATGTATAATATTATACATATCTGTGGAATGAAATTATTTAACAAACGTAAATAGAATATGACAAATAACATTGGACATAGATTAACTGACCCATCGTTGTTTCTCTCGCGGTGAGTAAATCCGTGTGTAGGGCAATATTAATTAAATGTAGTGGTTTTTATTTAGGTGCAACAATTTATTTTAATCATAAAAATATATAACCCACTTAACACAAATGTCTGTTGTAGGTTTAATAGTTTCTATTCACCTTTACTTGAATGTCGTTTCTATTTATTTATTTTTAAATATTTCTAACTATTTTTCTCTGATGTATGCGAGAATCGAAGGATCAATATAGCGATTAATTTGTTTTTCTATTTCTCATTCAAATTTTTTTGAAAATCTTGATGCTTCACGTTAATATATCCAAGTAAGTAGTTACGCTTTGTGTTGTCAATGTTAAAATTATACTAATAAAAGGTAGTTACTGTTCGTTACGAAACAAAACACACATATCTATTTGATTATGATTGGTCAATGATGAAATTGATAAGGCATCTTTCGGTGATATTGACACATTATTATTCATTGTAATACTGTATGTAATTACTAATCAATAATAATTAAAATAATAATAATTATTAATTGTGTTGCGTTTTGAATGTTGACTCTCGCTCGATATAAGTTATATTCACTTCTTTTTTCAACATGTCTCAAAAAAACATATCCAAAAAACAAAGATCAACAAATTTCACATTTTTTGAAAAAGAACTCTTATTCAAAAATGCTCTACAAAACTGTCAAGTATTAGAAAATAAAGTGTTAACTAATAAATTACGAACAACATTTTTTCCAAGTCTGAATCTCATCCTAAAGTCATGGTCATCACATGCTATATTATGATTTATTTTTTCGTGTATAGACGACGTCAAGAGTTCAAATATTGAATTGTTACATAATCATCATCCTTTTCAAATAAATGCATGTATATTGGAATTTAAATTGTGTATATATACATATATATATATTTAAATATATAAAGTAATACGATAAATTATAATAACTAATCATTTTTATGTTATCAGCTGTTAATTATCAGTCGAATAAGAATTATTTGATACAAAAAGTAACGGATAACTTATCCGTACTATATCCATCGAATAAGGTCTATCCCGACATTGAAAAACTGAAATTTATCAATTTTTTCTTATCTGTCAGATAACTCAAGTTAAATGAAGAGTATATATGATTGGAAAACCAGGCCTTAATAATACATTTTTACAATATGAGTACATATTATGTACAGCAATGGCCTATGAAAAATTTTTTTTTGGGGGGTGTTGTATAAAATGTATCATTAAATTTTTTTGGAATTTTGTGTGTTTCTACTATAATGAATAAATAATATACATACCTTAAACCTTTTGGGACAGGGGGTTATAATCCACTAACCCCCCATGGATACGCCACTGATGTACAGTATTGTCAGAATTTATGTGTACCTACCTGTAGTGACACAGTACCCTTTTTGGGAAATTACTTAAATCAACAAAAACCTGACAAGTAGTTAGACTAGTTTTATGTATGGTCTTAAATTTTGAATATTAAAACATATTATCTCCAATACCTTAGTCAAAAACTTAAGGTCAGGCATAGTTAAGAAATATTTATAAGTAAATCAGTTTTCACTTTCACCCATAAAAATTATTAACCGTATAAACGATTTAGTAATTTATCATAATATATTGTTTTTAATTAAAAATGTTGGCTGACATCATTTTAACAACTATTATTTTGGTTACCGTGCGACATAAAAAAAATTAACCGATGAGTAAAAGCAAATCGAAAAACATTACAGTCTTCCGATTTCTTAAGGTCTAAACGCCACAAAATAATAATTACGAATTTTTCTTATCTGATCGTATATTTGAAAGTTATTAACTTCAGTAAGGTTAAATAATCGCCTATACAAGTTTAATAATTTCATAATAATCAAAAATATAGAAAAGATGAGTCAATTCAAGGAAATCAACGGTATGTATTTAAAGCACTGTTAATAGAATGCTAAAATGAATGTAATGATTAATCGTGTACAACTGACATCCAGCTTCCAAAACATCGAACAACGCGTCCGTGAACACGAATAACGAGGTTTTTGGTACCCGAAGAACGGTCAACGGACGTCCGATGAACCGGGATCAATATCCCTATCAATCGTGGAGATATGAATCGGCTCCTTTAAGAACACCTACGACGGTATTCTAGTGCCAATCGACATGTTATGCAACTTTGAACTAAAGAAATTACTATTTTTAAATGATTACCTTAGACGATGATGCCGCAATTCAGCCGAGTGAGTTCTAGTACGGAACCACCGAAACGAAAAGTGATCAATTATTCCCTGGCCAGAGGAGATGCCGTCCAACTGCAAACATGCAAGAATGCATGGGTTCCGTCGTGTCTCAGAGCGAAAGACACGAACAATTGTCAGCCGCTGAACGAGGAGGACGTGGAGATAGAAGTAAATAATAATTTTGTAGAATAAACTAAACGATTACACTATCACGACGAGTAAAGTTCAAGGTGGATCGTTGTCCGCGCAAGATATTTTATTTCGATTGTACAATTACATACATGATTTACTATGATTATTTTTTGTTGATCAAGGAAATACGTAAAAAATGCATGTCGGCTCTCAACAAAATAACGCCGGAAAATATGACCTTGTTGGCGGACACCATTACGTCATTGCCAATCAAGACGGAGAAATGCATGAAAAAAGTCATTGAGCTACTATTTCAAAAAGTATGTTGAATTATAGACCGTACGAAATACATGGGTACCCGCTGAGACGAACCATCTCAATACATACATACCAGTTTCTGGAAATAAATATTGTTAATATTTTTAACCGTTTACGAACACTCTCTAGGCCATAGACGAACCGAATTTCACGCCGCAGTATGCATATATAGGCATGGCAATGCACAAAAAAGAAAGCAAGCAGAGCGATAAGAAGTCGAAAACGACGTTCAAAAATATGTTGACCAAGTGCTGTCAAGACAGGCTGTACGAAATGCGTGCCCACGAAGAGGCATTAGCAAAAAGCCTTAAGGCAGTAGAAGATTGCCCGAATCAAGTGAACATCTCGTTGAAATCTATTACATTGACCACCGATAAATATAATGCGAATAATATGTTACAGGATATTAAAGCGCAACTGCAGACCAAACACAATGAAGATGAAATGGTGTACAGAAAAAGATCGGTTGGAAATTGCAGGTACGAACGTGTTATATAGGAATGGAATTTAGGCCGTATGCAATATATTCGTTGATTTTCAGATTTATGTGCGAACTGTATAAAATAGAAATATTAACGAGTAAGACTCTAGAAGAGAGTATGAAATATCTTCTAAGGACACCGAACGAAGAAACGCTTGAATGCGCGTGTAACGTATTGAAACATACTGGGAAAACATTAAGTCACGTAAGATTACTCTTTTGAGTTTTTACACTTTTAAAATACACGTTTTCCATCGTTGAAAAATTAATAAAAATCAAATATTATAATATTGTTGGTTTGATAAAAATTACAGAAAGCTACTTTTAAAAAGCTCAACGAGTATGCGTCTGAGGCGTATAAGGCAAAGGTACCGACAAGGATAAGGTTCATGATTCAAGACATCATTGAACTAAAGGAAAATGATTGGGTGCCCAGAAATGCGCGTCCCAAAGGGCAGTTGAGCTGTGTAAAATCAATACAGAATACGGGAATACCTGTTAACAGGCAGTACACATCAACTACGACACCTGTGATGGTGATGGTAAATAACTAACTTTTTACACATTGAAATAGTTACTTACTAATATTAAGCCGTTTAATAAAAGTTTTATATAATACGTAATAATATCTTTGCATCGATTTCATTAGAAAAACACTTTACAAAAATCAAACGAGCAGAACAATACGAAACTGCTTACAGAAACTAGAAAGGTAATAATTTATTTTGATATTTATACATCAAACGATAATCCAGTTGAAAGATTCTTTAATCAATGAAAATATAAACTATAGGTTTTAATAGTTTTTAACAGTTTTATAAAATCCTAAAGAATGCAACTTATAAATAATTTATAAAAATATATTTTAACAATATACATACATTTCTTTAGAACGATGTGCTTCAAAATGAAAAATTATCTAGAGCTACAAAGATAAACGGTCCAAAACAGCTATCATTACCAATCAAATGGAGTGATTCTGTTAAGAACAATATACCATTGTTAATGCCAGTTATAGACCAAGAAATCGATAGTTCTAATGATTTACATTCAATAAACGATAAACATATTGAAATAGAAGTACATGTACATAAATTCATGATACATACGAGTAAATGCAACTAAACATATTCTGTTGCTGTTGTAGGAAATCCTTAAAAAATATCAAACTATTTTAAACAATATAACTCCGGATAATGTGGCTTCGATGGCGAAAAATATCATGTCACTGCCAATAGAAACAGAAGATTGTCTGAAGAAAGTAGTAGAACTTTTGTTTCAAAAGGTATATACGAAAATAATTCAATTAAAATATACTGTCACTTGATAATTGTGAAACATATTATTTCGAGACCAGTCGAATGTATTAACTGTAATTTTTAAATTCAATAGGCAATGGACGAAACGATATTGAGTCCCCAATACGCATTTATTTGTTCGACAATGAAAAAACACGGTGGTACATTCGAAAGACTCGAAATCAAACACGTCTTTCAAAAGTCTTTTGCTTGCAAGGTGTCAAAAAGCATTCGAGTCGATATTCACTCGTAAACGCACTGTAGCCAAAGAGCGCAACGAAATCGAATCGTGCAGGGATAAAGTATGAACGATTTTCTATAATGCCCGTTTATTATTTTATAAACATTTGCAAAATGTTAATGCGTATACGATATAGGCAATGCGGCGAAAACTCCAATCCAAGTTCGATCAAAACGAATCGGATTACAGGAATCATTCGATTGCAAACTGCAGGTTAGCTCACGGTTGAGACATAAAAATATAATAATCGAACGAGATTAAAATTATAGTTGTAAACTGTTCTTTGTCGCATGATTTCCAGATTTATGTGTGAACTAATGAAATTTAACATTTTGATACCTGCGGTACTAGAGATGTGTGCTGCTAGACTAGTACAAATTGAAAAAGACATACCAATCGAGTGCACGTGTGTTATATTGAAACACACTGATAACGCATTGAACGAAGTAAGATTCATTGCCGACGATTATGTATAAATTAATTTGAATATTCTAGTGCGACATACTATTTATAATAGAGAATATATCGCGCTCACAGTATGTACTCTGAAAATTTAAAAACTATTAACATGTATTTCAAATCGTAGAGTGGCGTATTCGAGAAGCTACACGAGTATACAACTGCGCAAAAGCAAAAACTCTCTTCCAGAGTGCAGTCCATAATTCTGGATACGCTAAGACTGAAGAATGACGGTTCAATGGATTGCACCACCAGTAAAAAGTCTATTTTATTGGACCGAACTGAAGAAAACAGTATTATAGAGTCTCGCATCGAAAACACAAAACAACCCCTTGTAAGCAAGCAACCTGTATCAACGGTCCAAAAGAGCAAACACCCGGAGGTATTTAATTCAGTGCACATACGTTTTATTAACGAAAAAAAAAACTAAAATATTTACCTTGTGTAACAGATAAATATTAATATTAATAATGTTTCGATATTTTATTAGTTAAATGTTTACAAGACCGTTAATTCGGTTATTAACTCGGTGACCGCAGATAACGTGAATACTACAATAAATGAGTTGTCTACTCTTATTTCGAATTCCGACGTGATGAAAAAGACGATCGACTTCATCTTTGCCAGAGTATATTTTTAAATATTTGTTAAATTATAAGAACATATTTAATCTGCTATTCAAATTACTTGAATCGGCTGTATAATCGTTTATGTTTTTATTTATTGAAGGCAAACATTCGCCCAGAAAGTGTTCCAATGTTGGTATGCATATGTTCTTCGTTGAAAAACTTGGTAGTTAATCCAGTTGAACAACACGCGAAGCCTATATCGTTTAAGAAAGAAGTTCTGATACGTTGTAACCAGGTTTTGCAGTCCGGAATACAGAGCGATTCGAGTGAAAACGCATTTACGCATAAAAAACCTTTCACGTAATTTTACCGTTAGCGTTCAAGTTACCGGTGGAACAAAAACTTATTTCTATATGTGTTAACTTTAGATTTGTCGGCGAATTATTTAATGCAAACGTGTTATCGGCACATACTCTACTAGAGTTTTTGCGAAACATACCGGATAAGCTGACAAACAGAGGGCTTGACAATACTTGTCGCCTACTAATAGCAGCTGGAAAAAAATTGGAACAAGTAATTGAAGCTACAATATTAAGTAGGTAGTCAACAGTATATTCTAACGTGTGCGTTCGTATGATTTCTACAGGTTTACAATCTGAAAAAAACAATAAGAAAATTGACGAATATGGTTTCGAACGACGAGAAAGGGATATATTCTCTACGTAGTACAATGCTTCTTAAAGAATTTGTGAACCTACGCGACAAAAAATGGTTGTTGTAGTAGAAATATTTTATGCTTACCAAATCGAATCGAAGGTGTTCTGTCGATTGTACATCGACAAACACTTCCTTTGGTGGTAGTAGTCTATTCCCGGCTGAGTAAAAGCAAACCTATTATTAGTTATTTCTTAATGTGATGGTTCAATAAGTTATCTACAAATATTAGTCGACATACAGATAATGTTGTACTGTTTTATGGGTTTTTTTTTATCGAAATAAAAGTTATTCGTCACACCATTAATCTGTGATCTTTTATAATAAAATAAAATAATTTAATGATACTCAGTTTTAATCAATGGTATGACAAATAACATTCGTATTGATAAAAGGAACTCATAGATCAATACAATCTTATCGATAATTCGATTAACATTCGTAGATCGTTTATTAAACCTTTACCATTGTTAATCATAGCACCCCTGTTCTTAAATATTGCAACTATTTATACAGGAAAGTATATAAATATTTAATGAACATATTTTAAACCATCTCATAAATGGCTTAAGACGCTTTAATTATAGTCACACAAACAATATTTTATTATTTTTGTAGTTTCTTGAAGGTTATTCAATATACTATTTTTTTTTCTTTTATATTTCTTTTCAAATAATAATAGTATATTTTGGTCCCTTAGAGAAATAAAAGTATATATACAGTATGATCACCCTAAAAGGTATCACTAGATATATCAGTCCGATGACCTTGTATTGAAATGGAGTTTCGGGGTATAAAAGCGAGTATCAAATACATAATTAATTTCAATTTGAATTAATCAAATTTCAATTTTTTTTACTTGGTATGCGTTTATGCAATACAACTTAATTTTTTTAAATGGCATCACCATTTTTTTTTTCTACATGTTTCTATTTAAAAATAAGTAATTTGTATTGTGCATACGCGTACTGTCCGTGTCAAAAATTTGAAATTCAACTGACATTGTGTATTTTGGTACTCATTTTCGTTCACTGAAAATCTCATTTCAATACATGGTCATCGAACTGAAATATTTAATGCTACCTCTAAGCGTGAACATTCGGTATATATATATAACAATTTCGTTTAGGTATATTTTTGATACCTGTAGTAGAAAATCTGCTAGTAATTATGAATACATTAACACCTTTTTTATCGTTTACGTAAAACTATTAATTTTTAGTCATTGTCTAAAAGTGCTTTAATAGTTTTCTTTTGTTCACCGTCACAACAATTTAATCATCATCCCCAAAAATAAATAAGTGTCAAGACCGTTCAAATCATCCATTGGATGTCAACGTATAAGAATTGAATTTATAAGTCGGTGAAATTTGCCTCCGAACAAAGAAGCGAGAAAAATGTAGCTGCGTTGCATGGAATACATCATGTTGTATCTTATCCAATGAAAACTTATTTTGGCGTATATATATTTAAGTAAAACATTGCACTTTATTATTTTTATAAATATGTAGTAATTAATGTGCAAGTAACATTACGAATATTTTTTGGTTTAGTATTCCGAAGAAATACATTTTACTGTGATAACAAATCATCTAAGAAACAACACCCGCGTTCGAGTTCATAAGACTACATAATACATTTAGTGATCGGAATACGCATAACAGATCATGAGAAGTAACCAGATTATAAACGAATAGATCAAATCGGTGATTGCGAATATGCTGAACAAAATGTCAACCATAAACATTGAAGATATCAAAGAATTATGATAATGTGACATTACTTTACCTCCTCGTGTATAATTTATACATTAAATATAATGTCTGATTATGTTTAGTTGGCTTTGTCTATCTTATGATCGCCTGCGTTGCCGAACCTATAATCCCAATAGGGGTGGTGATCTCCGATCTTTTTTTTGGTGGATTAGGGTCGGTGGGTTTCCATAAAAATCGTAATGTATTTACTACTGTAAATGATTCTATGGTGTAACAGGTGATGGGCGATGAGAAATAAATTTGCTGAATTTCATTTATGTTCGGTGCGCAAATTGTAGTGTGTTAATGTCAAACTTGATGCGGTACCGTGATGTCATAGGTACAATATGTACACCGACACCGCGCACCGCATTAGTTTCTCTCCAGCCACATCCCGGGTGGCGATAATATCGCACTAACACTTTCCTACCTACCTCGGACACCGGGCAGAGGGGGAAAGCTTTTGATGCCGATAAGCGCACCAGCGGCCGGCGGGTGGTGTCTACGGACGAGGCCCATCTTTCGACGGACACCAAACCGGTCAACACACCGACTCTCCGATCTGTCAATTTAAAAAGCGTTCATTTTTTTTTTTGTTGTTTCAATTATTTTTTTTAGTAAATTATTGAAACAAATAGACGTGGGTGTTTTCTTTTTCTATTTTATTTTGTGGAATCGACGCCGAGGCCACGTGTCCCCCTCACCACCACATATTAAACACCGCGTCAAACTTAAAGTTATATATAAGTTATACGACGATCAATACACTCCTTTGCCTCGGTACCATCGTACTTTCAATTATCGTTCGGGACACCCGGATTGAATAAAATAACCGGTTCTGGGAAACGACGGTATATTGCGAAGAGTTCAAGGACGACCGTCGCGATGTATCGGTCAACTTTTAGCCGTCTTCATGGCCCTTTTAACTTTTTTTATTTTATTCCGCATTCTGTCATTTGACATTTGTTTTTTATTTACATTATTCTTTTTTGTATCCTGATTGTTAACCTTTACTGAAATATACTTTGAATTATTTTAATTTGTTTATTTTATCAATTTTATGTCTATTTTATTGCAGTTCAACTGATCTATATGTACACTTTGATAGTTATTAATTTATGTTTAACGATTTTATCTGTGTAATTGAGTGCCTGATACGAGAAAAAAAAACCTTTACTTTTTTATTGCATTTTTATTTTTATCGTAACCGCTTAGGCGATAGTAAAAAATAATTACGACGCCTTGTGTGGACGAAATAGGTAATCCAACGTGCTTCCCGGAACCGACCAGGTGATATGACAATAATAATATATATCTAAAAAAATAACTGTCGAAATAATGACTAGAAAAAAAGGGGTTTGCCATAGTTGGTGATGATTTCGACAAATGGAAAAAATCTGATAGAATTCAGTGGCCGGGGAATGACGTCCGCTCGGTTAAACGTCAGGAAACCAAGAGCGAAAAAACACATGGTCTTCACCGTGTTGATGTCGTTGGACTCCGTACTTTGCATTCTTGGATTACATTTATGGGATATGAAAAAAAAATGTAGCTAAATATTTAAAAAATATTAATTAGGTATAAATCCAGTGGACTCGGTCCTTGACGTGGACTTTGGCCATATTCTAATAATGTATGATAATAATAATAAAATATTTCAAATTCTCGGACGCTGCAAGTTTTAAGAATGAAAATAATCGTTTACATTTTATATTCGAAAAAACCTTTTACATTTTTTTATCTAAATAATATAGAAATAAATTACAAACCAATAGTTTATTGAATCATAAAACAAATAAATAACATACCATTTTTAATTTTTAAATAATCAGTACTCGTTAACTGTGTACAAAGTATCAAGGCCCTTTTAGTTTCATTTACATTAAATTTATCATAAAATTATTATGTGAAAGTTATAACATCATTTTTATAGTGTTTTCAGTATCAATAAATACTATTATTTGAGGGGAGATCGAAAGGGAAATGAAATAATGCAAAATAATAAAAATAAATTTATGAAACTGATTTATATTCAGTGTCAGTCTGACTCACCTGGATTCCCGGCAATGGCCGGGGGCTCTGAGATTTATTCTTAAAATAAGGGCCCAACCAGGGATGGATTTACAATTAGAGAACTGTTGGTCAAGCCATTTCAAGAGACCACTTATTAAAGCTGAAAGTGGATTTTAAATGTATTCCTCGTAACAATAAAATAATATTATCATATAATATTTGTTTTTTAAATTTATTCATAATTATCATTAATTATATTAATAATTATCATAATTATAACGTTTATTTAATTTATTTCAAATTTTTAACTTGATTTATAAATATTTAGATATAAAGCTTTAATTATAATATTTTATTTTATTTTTAAATGAGAGTAATTATATAAAGATAATATATTTATTTAAAATTTTTAAACTTGATTTATAAATAGTTTGATGTAAAACAAAAATTTATTTAATTTTATTATATTTTAAAAATATTTGTTATTTAAAAAATGATAATATTTATATATATATATTTTTAAAAATACAATCAAAACTCGACCGTCGGTTAATTTATTTTTTTTGTCTTTTCATCTTTTAATTTACTACATATTGGCCGCATATTGACCTGATTAGGTCGATGTGTTCTGGTCCTCCAGGTTGGGGGTTTGGCTTCGGGTTAACAACCCGATCCAGTTAAAGAAAATTGTTAAGAAACCACTGTCAAAGAAGCCTCAGATAATTAATGGAGAACCTGGAAAAACAAGGAGATAAATATTGCGACTTGGAATACCCTGAGCCGTACAGGAGCATGCCAGAACTTAACCGATGTACTGAAGGAATACCGTGTAAAAATTACAACGCTATAAGAGATCAAATGGATCGACACAGGCCAACTAAATGTCAATGATTACACAATCTATCATGGGGCATGGATAGAATCCATCAACTAGGTGTAGGGTTCGCCGTACACAAGAACTTTGTGCGCTATGTAAAGGAATTCAACCCTATATCTGAACGAATAAGCACGACAAGATTAGATACGAACCCAATGAATTTATTCATAATTAACGTACATGCACCCACCGAAGTCAAAGAAGATATAGAGAAGGATATTTTTTATGAAGAGTTAGCCAAAATATTTGATGAATCGCTAAGAAACACGATAAAAGTTATAATCGGCGATTGCAACGCAAAAATAGGTAAGGAGACTATGTTTATACCCAAAATTGGTCTACAAAGTACGCACGAAAGAAGCAATAATAACGGCCAAAGGCTAATAATATTTGCATCCTTGAGAAACATGACCATTAGTAGTACAATTTTTCCTCACAAAGATATCCACAAGTGCACATGGTAATCACCAAATGGACATACGTACAACCAAATAGATCATGTACTCATTGACCGTAGGTTCAGGTCTAGTATCTTGAATGTAAGAAGCTACCATGGAGCGGACTGTGATACTGACCACTTTTTAGTCATAGCAAAATGCAAAATTAAGCTAAAGAAGATATGCACAAATAATAATAAAATGATGAAATTCGATATCACCAAACTTATGCGAGAAGAAGAAAACCAAAAATACATTCATGAAATTGAAAAGGAGTCAGAAACGAATCAGGTAGGCGAAAAAAACATAGAACACATGTGGAAAACGATAAAAGAAGTCATCATAGCTGCCGCAAAGAAAACACAGGAAGAATCTAGGCATAAATCAAAGAGTTGGTACAACGATAAGTGTTGAAATACGGTCTTAAAGAGAAAGGAGGCAAGGCATGAATATATTGAATACAAGACAACACACCTTAAGAAAGCTTTCGAGGCCGAACGTAGAGAATGCAAAAAAGTCGTTCAGAGAGAAAAAAGAAAATATTTGAACGAACTCCTACAATCGACAGAACAAAACTTCACACAAGGAAAAGTGAGACATTTTTTTGCAGTCATAAAAAAGAGTAAACAATTCAACCCAATGCTTAAAGCCATCAAAGATAAAAATGACAGAATATTTATAGAGCCACAAGCTAAAATATCTAGATGGCGTGAATACTTTGAAGAGCTACTTAACGGTGAAATGCCAGAGACGTCAGTTTCGGAATGGAAAGAACAAAGAGCAGAGACAGAACTCAAGGAGATAACATTCGATGAAACAATAAAGGCAATAAACAATTAAGGAACTGGAAAGCACCAGGACAAGATGGCAAACTAGCCGAATTCATTAAACTAGGTGGTAAAAGATTACATGAAGCCATACATACACTGTGCAAACAGATCTGGTACGAAGAAAAATTGCCAGACGAATGGAACAAAGCCATAATTATAGGTCCGTATCACCAGCACGGCCACTTTTGAATAATAGTAACAAACCTTGACAGTATTTTGTACAATCAAAATAAAATGTTGTACACCCACCAGAACTCGAGAAAACCTGATTTTTCTATGACCGTGCTGGGGATATGGACCTCATAATTATACCTCTTAACAAAAAAGGAAATAAGACGATCTGCGACAACTACAGAGAGATAGCCTTATTGAGCACAACGTATAAAGTATTTTCCAAAATACTCTTAGGGAGACTGGTACCTTTAGCAGAGGAGTGTATAGGGAACTATCAGTGTGGATTCCGGAAAGGCAGATCGACAATTGATCAACTATCAACTATTGGACAACTAATAGAAAAAAAATTTGAGTTCAGAACAAATGTCTGGTAGGTATTCATAGACTTCAAAAAAGCGTACGATAGTATTCATCGTGACAGCCTGTATAACATAATGTATGGATTTAGAATTCCCAAAAAAATTATTTCACTGACAAGAATGTGCATGAATGATACACGGTACCAAGTAAGAGTAGATAATGCTCTATCAGACGAGTTTGATGTATTGACTGGGCTAAAACAGGGCGATGCGCTCTCGCCACTACCATTCAATATCGCTCTCAAAAAAGTGATACGTAGCGTAAAAATAAACAACCGTGGAGTCAAAATAGATGAAATTGTACTAGACGTTTTAGGATTTGCAGACGATATAAACATTCTAGGTGAAGATAAAGAGTCAATTGTACAAAACACAACATCAATGATAAACGAAGCAAGAAAGATAGGGCTAACGATAAATGAGGAGAAAACCGTAGTTATGGAGACAGAAAACAGTGAAGATGAAAACCTCGCAATAAAGGACTACGTATTTAAGAAAACACAAAGTTTCAAATACCTTGGCGCAACAATCACTGGGAATAATGATTGGTATAGTGAAATTTGTAATTGAATTAATAAAGGTGAAAGGACGTACTTTGTTCTAATTAAATACTTAAAATCAAATATCTTCTCTAGAGGTACAAAAACACGTTTCTATACGGCGATAGTAAGACCCACAATCACATACGAACATACATAAGTGTGGCCCATGACAACACGAACTGAAAAACAACGAAGGACCTTCGAAAACAAAGTATTAAGAACAATATGTGGGCCCGTATACGATGATGTAACCGATTGCTGGCGTAGAAGGAAGAATAGAGAGTTGAGAGAAATGACAAAAATACTCGTGATAACAAGCTATATAAAAGGACAAAGGCTAAAATGGTTTGAGCATATCAAGCAGAAAGAAGTAACAAACAAAACCAGAGCAACTATGGATTGACAACCAGAAGGGAAGAGACCAAGGGGTAGGCCAAAAAAACATTGGATAGATGGGATAAGACAAGATCTAGAGAGGCTGAAAATTACGAACTGGGAAGAGCTGGTCCAGGATCGTGGAAGTTGGAGAGCATTGACAGAGGCAGCCAAAACTCTTACAGAGTCATGAAACCACATGATGATGATGATGGTTAGTGAAGCGTTCTTTTAAATAAAATCATCAAAAATGATACTGCGATAGTTATACGAAAATATGTTTTCGAACAATTAGTAGCAATATTCACACGATTTTGTTGACGAGCTACTATTCTGAGAATTTGAATATTTTCTTTTTCATCAATAGATTTTAAAAGAATTTCAGATTTTTCAAAAATTTTATCAAATGTATGATCAATATTTTCTCGTTAATGAATTAATTCGTTTAGTATTGTTCCGATATGTTGTACAGCTTCTACTAGTTCACAACTAAGTGATTGTAAACTTTTACATAGAGTAAGTGTCATTGTAAACAGAGTATTTGATGTAACCATACTTAGTATAAATTCATTAGAAACTATTGCTCGATAAAATTGAAGTGCTTTTAATGATGTATTAATGTCTTGAACTAATTGCAATTCTTTCAGAGTTTCAACAATGGGTTGGAAAATTTCAACAAATCTTTGAATTCCGTTGTGGTTTTCAACCCATCGAGTATCACACATTGATGTCAGTTTAGTCCACTTAATATTGAGTGCAATGTTTTTTATTTTAATTTTTAGTATATTTGCCCGGATAGATGAACTTATAATGAAATATCCAATAGATTTTATTGTACCAATACAATTTCTGATGTATTGAACATTGCATGAATGAGCAAACGCTAAATTTAAAGAGTGCGCACTACAATGCACGTAAAGTGCTGTTGGATGATTTTTCTTAGTAACCGTTTAGACGTCTTTAAAATTTCCACTCATGGAAGCAGTGCCATCATAACCCTGACCGACCATATATTTATCGTTAATTCTAAGCGCTTGTAATGAATTTATCATTACAGATGCTAGGTTTTGACCAGTTGTACTGTGAACCAGTATAAATTGTAAAAATTCTTCACGTAAAACATATTTAATAGTATCAGTTATCTCTACTGGATCTAGATATCTAATACAAAGAATCAATTGCTCTGTACGTGATATGTCGGTAGTTTCGTCAACGAGAACCGTAAACGACTTTGCTGCATTAATTTTACAAACTAAATTATCTTGAATTTTATTTTCTCACAAATCTTAATAAAATTATTTTGGATTTTAGGACTAATGTACATAGCGTTTAAAGACTGATTTTCAATATGATTAACTACATTTTTGTCTCCACATGAAATTCATAAAATTCGCATACGCAACAGTGCTCTAAAATTACCATCATTATGATCAGGTTCAACAACATTTTAATCAAGAGAACCCGAATCATTTCGCCCTCGAAATGCTAATTCTTGTCGATCACATAAAATAATTGTTTTTATAATAGTAACGAGTTTTTTTCTATTTTCAGAAATTTGTTGAGCTCTTGCGGAATCGAGTTGTTGTAGAATATCTGGTTGAAGTTTGGTATAAGTGTTAATGACATTTTCACCGAATATTAACTATTTTTATGGTATTGTATAGTGCAATCCGGACCAACTACAAATCCAGTGTGATTACGGGGAAGAGAATTACAGTCGGCCAACCGTCATTGACGGAGATCAAGATCTGGATCAGTATACTCATTGGTACCACAGTCGTGAGTGCATAAACGAATAGTTATAATTGTGAATGGGAATGTGTAGTCAGTACGATTACAAATTGGCACCCAATTAATCCGAGTAAATAAATAAATTGTAAACAGGTGCACGTGTAGTGTCCATTACACACTGGCTGTACACTTTAATCTAAATTGATTTCCCGATCACACATTTCACTGCTAAAGGGGTTCCTATGCTAAAACAAATAATGAAAATCAATTCCCGGTTACATTACTCATGTATCGTAAGAAAGTTAAGACTATATATTATTAAATATATTTTGAACAAAAATTAGAAGAAATGTAATTTTTAAAAATGAAGTTATTTAATAAACATAAATAGAATAATGCGAGTAACATTGGACATAGATTATTTGTCTAATCGTCAGGCACAGCGCCGGGGAGGGGGAGGCAAGGTGGGGCTCTTGTCCCCTCAGAAAACAGTTCGGCCCCCTCACCAACCCCTCCACTGAAAAATATATACGATATAATAAAGTTATAAAACATTATTTTTAAAAGAGCTACATCAAAAATTTATGAAATATACTTTTTAAACATTTTTAATTTATGGAAATACTTTCGTATTTTCGAAGATTCGTGTTTTAAGTTTTCCTACTGATATTGGTATAATTTTATACATTTTTCTTTACTTATAATATTATATTTTCAATCATTTACTGTATGTTGCATAAACAGATATTGTGTAAAATATCAATATTTAGCTTATTTATCATATGTTAGTACTGAAAAATTGAGGAATAAATTTAATTTATTATTTGTCTAATAAGGAAAAAATTTACTACAATTTCAACATGTTTTGAACTTTGTAAAATGAGAAAACATTTTTTTATCTATTTATTATTACCTTCATTTAGTACTAATTACTGGATGAAAATAAACAAACAAAAGTATCCCAAATAATTGCATTAAAGATGATTCAAACAAAGTCATCTGTTCATTACTAAACACAATTACTTTCATTTATACTTATGATATATAGGTAAGTAAAAGAAAAATAATTATTCTTTCATAAAGGTATGTAATATTAAAAACATAAAGAAATTATCATTTTTGTACATCATTAATCATTATGAATAATAGTTGTTGAAGGTCTTTGATTAAACATTTTTAACTATTTAAAATTGTTTACATATTATCTGTTTAGACTTTTAGAGCATATAATATAAAAACTTGTGTACTATATGGCGAATAGCTATATTATATGATACGAAAATATTTATATTTTATTTAATTAACCTAAGTATATGTTGAAAAAACTTAAGCCCATGTATAAAAAATATTTGCCCACTCTGTCCCCCCCTGGAAAAAATTCTAGTGTCGTGCCTGCTAATCGTAGCTCCTTGCCGCGATGTACCACTAAAAAAAAAAAATATTAAAATGTGAATGTTTTTTTTTTATAACAATTAATTTTAGTTATGAAAAATATTAACCGTTGAAATACTAAGGTTTGTTTAAGTTAAAAAAGTTTTTATATACCCTCATTTAAATTTAAAAA